CTAAAACCAAACTGAAGAAAAATAGAATATAACAATGTAATATGTAAAGTGCGGGAAACTTGGATATAGAGTTGAAAAGATGCTATAAACAGTTAAATAGTATAACCATGATAATTACTAGGTTATTTACTATGATCTGAAGCAAGGAAGGAAGTCATTTAAGTCAGACTTGAAGATCTGATCCAGCTCTTGGTTATGCCAGACTTCCTAGGGCAAATCTTAGGGCACAGCTACACCATCTCCCTGAATGAGATTAGCTAAGCTGACAGAAGCACTCTTGTCAGCACAGCTGCATCTACAGAAACAGCTATGTCAGCTCTAAGGGGTGTGATTCTCCCTCCCCCCCCCCACACACACATTGCTAGCAGACACAGATATGCTGGCAAGACTGTAGCGTAGACCAGGCATTACTCTAGCCCATGCCACAGTTCTCCATCTCTAACATGGCAATTATACTTCCCAACACAGGGGTTGTATTATTTTCATAGAACAGATCACCGTAAAAAAAGTCACATCATTATGAATAGTAAACACAACACATGAGAGTCACTGGCCAGCAATCTTCAAGCAACCTTGAGAAGCATGCTGTACTGCAGTCAGAGGGGTGTTGAGGATAAAATTAACGATTGTGAGGAGCTCAGATACTACAGTGATGAGGACCATATAAGTGCCTAAATAGATGTTCCTTAAGGTCTTACCATAATTAAAAGTTCTTGTACCATCCACTTGTAAAATTGTACAATTTTCACTTTTCCAGTGAAGCTGTACTTTATCTCCAGATGCTTCATTTTCTCTAAAAAGGAAGAGATGTTTTACTAATCTTATTAGAGATCAGAACAGAAAAAATATGTACAAAATGAAGTGAACATATTTTCCTTTTAAAGAAATTCCCTTAGTGCTAGGTAAGTAATATTCAGCTTAACTGAACATATTTTCATCAACAGAAGATTAGAGGCATAAATCATTGTCACCTACCTACTTCATCCAATCAAGAATACACAAGTTCCACATTTGACTCTTTGCGCATCTATGACCCTGTTTTCCAGCACACAAGCTTATAACATGAATAAATTGCTGCAATTCAGACTCTTCTCTCAATAAATTAAAAAAAAACAACACGAAACTCAGAGATGAAGTTTATCCAACATCTACGAGCCCAAAAATCAGTCCACTAGCCAAAAATATTTCTAACAATTTGTAATTTAAGGAATAAGACAGCCATGCTCTGTAATTCACAAGGTCAACTTTCTATTTCATACTTTTGTTAGAAGTTTTATTATGCCTGCCATACTTTGGGTCTCATCTTCTCTTCTTTATTCCACAACTTTGCCCCCCCCCCCCCCCGGACAATCTCTTTTCTTCCTGCTTTGTGGTCAGTGTCTGCTTCCTCATTTTCTCTTCTCCCTACAGACCCTGACATCCCTTTCCAGCTTCATGGCACATTGCTTTCTTTGCCTCTTTACCTAGGTTTTGCCTCTCCCACTTCTCCTCCAAGCATCATACTTGGTCTCCAAATCCCACCTTATCTCATCAATTTCTGCCCCCAACACATAGGAGGCACCAAATCTATTCACACCCCTTTTTACAGAAGGCTTGAAGAGTACACCAGACACTCAGCGAGCTAAACTAAAAGGAGGGCCCCCCCTTTATCTGGGGCAATGCCCAGGTGAGGGGCCAACCCAGCAGGCAAGCTGCCGGGAAAGCCCCGGCTCCTGGCAGCTCAGCTAGCAAGTCTTCACGCCGTCGCGTTGCAAAAGCGCCCCTTCAAGATGTGAGCCAGCGCTCAGCAAAGTGGCAGTCGAGAGCCCCGTATAATAGACCCCAGCCCCAGCTGTAACTACCCCCGTCCCCTATGGGAGCGTTTGCTCAGTGCCACAGCGCTAACACCGGCTCCCCCACGGCCCTTCTCACAGCACATCGCGGAGCGCTTGACACGGGCGCCCAACCCCCCTCCCCGCCCCTCCCCGGGGCGTACCCGGCCCGCAGGGCTCGGGGCACGAGCCTCACCGCTGCGCGCGAGCGGAGCCTGGGGCAGGGAAGGCCCCGCCGGGGGCAGTTCTAGGCAGGGCCGAGCCCCGCTTCCCAAAGGGAACCGAAGGGTCCCCGGAGGGGCGGGCGCCGAGAGGGGCAAGGCGGGGTCCCGGGGCAGGGCCGAGCCGAGCCCAGGGGGCTGGGGAAGAGGGCTCCGGTTCCCTGCAGTCACCTGGCGATGAGCGGCCGCATCCGCACGCAGACCGTCACGGCTCCCTCGTCCGCCATCGCCCCGCTGTGCCTCACGCCGTTGGAACAAACCGCTGCCCTTCTCGGCTCCGCAACCCCAACCGCGTCCACCAGCTACCGCCTGCGTCTCCAACTGCCGCCAGGGTTTGAATTCCTCTCGGGCTAGTTTCCTATTGGTCCTTCCCTGACAGGCACTTCCGGAATCCGGACTATACCACTGTCAAGCACGCTCATGGGGAGGCGCGTGGAACAAGCCCCGCTTAGACAGTCCCTTTATGAGGTTTAAAGGGCAGGAACGTTCCATGCGGGTCAAACAGCTACGTTCTTACAGTCCAGGAAACGGCTGTGGCTCGAGAAACTCCAGCTCTCAACGTGCAAAGCTGCAGCCTTTATTCCGACCCCTCCCACAGCCGGGACCTATGGCGTGCTTTTACTATATACTGTACAGATTTCATGGGGAAGACCAGTGTTTCTCAAATTGGGGGTCCTGACCCAAAAGAGAGTTGTGGGGGTGGTGTGGTGTTCCACAAGGTTATTTTAGTGTGTGTGTGTGTGTGGGGGGGGGTTGCAGTATTGCCATCCTTACTTCTGCACCGCCTTCACAACTGGGTGGCTGGAGAGTGGGGGCTGTTGGCCAAGCACCCAGCTCTGTGGGCAGCACCCAGCAAGCAGCAGCACAGAAGTAAGGGTAGCAATACCCTACCGTGCCATGCTTACCTTGCGTTGGTGCTGGTCGTGGCTCTGCCTTCAGAGCTGGGCTCCCCCTTAGCAATTGCCGCCCTCCAGCTGCCCAGCTCTGAAGGCAGAGCCACTGCCAGCAGCAGCGCAGAAGTAAGGGTAGCAGCACCGCAACCACCCCACAACTTCTTTATGGGTCAGGATCCCTACAATTACAACGCTATGAAATTTCAGATTTAAATAGCTGAAATCATGAAATTTACTATTTTAAATACTCTATGGCCGTGAAATTGACCAAAACGGACTGCAAATTTGGTAGGGTCGTAATCATTTATGTTAATGTAAGTTTTGCCATTGGTTGCACAAAGAGCAGAATTGAGCCCTAAATTCTTTTGCAGTAATTTTGTTATAGACAGTAAGCCTTTAGTAATTAACTGTCCAGTTATTATGATGTCACAAATTTAATATTTGATCCTGCAAGCCATTCAGGTCAACAGAGCTCAGGTATTTTTACCACCTCCAGTATTAGATGATACTGGTATACAAACATCAGAGTACTTTTGCTGCCACTGGTGTATGGCCTATAAGTGTATCCTTTCAATAGCGTATGTATAATACAGATGTCGATGATCTGGTAGTGAATTACAGGTCCTAATTTTTCTAATGTAGGTGCAGCCCTAAAACTGCTTCTTTTGAACATAGTCACTTTTGAAAATTCCCGGTGTTCCCTGTAACAGAGAAATAAGCGGCAAGAAAATGCCAGTACATCTCACACAACAGAGATTTTTCAGAATATTGTCATTAATGAAAATGTGGTGTGAAAAAACAGAAAACCTGCTACATCAGCAAAATTGTCTCGGAATAGTGTTTTCCAGAGTTTGACAGGAGACCCTAATCAGCTTTTATGATCCATTTTTCATAAAGAAACATGTTAATAAAAATGGGATATATGCAACTTATTAGAGATTTTCTGAAACTGTTGTAAATATATGCATAGATCAAGGTAAATAGCTATTACAAATGTGGATCAAGCATTGGGTTGCTGAACACACCATCAGCGAGTGCTCAGCACCTTGAAATATTTGGCTCCAAGCGTCCAATTTTGACTGATTTACACACATAATTTTTTGCCGCATATGACTTTTAAAGGAATATTTAGAATGTTTCTCAATTTACATTGCTCAACACATTTTTTAGAGGGACAAATCTATGATTTTTTCATTGGGAGTGATGGGGATGCAAGAATCTCACAATGACATTTCTAAATTTCTCAAAAAAGTGGAGACTTTGCTATATTATTCTAGGAAACTATATGGTTTCCCCTCCAAACCCACCCCCATTTTATATTATTAATAGCTGTTATTTATAGAATGTCATTGGTGTACATGGTACTGTCCACACATGTAACATGTAATACCTGTCCCAAATGGCTTACAAACTAACTTAGATAAAAGTACAAGAGAAGAACTAGATGTAGCACCAAAACCAGTATGATTGCTTTTTGAGTTTGCACCCGTCTTATTAGTTCCAACTTTGGTGGGTTTTTTTCCTTTCTTTACTTTGATATTATAATTTATATTGGTATTTAAGTGCAGGCTACGTCAAAGCCTATAAGGAGAGGCATGAGAGCAGGGTGAATGGTAGTGATGGAAGGCTAGCTTTGAGACACATGAAGGAGACCGAGTTTGCTTAGTGTACTAGAGAACGAGTACTTTAATTCTGACCTAGAGGAACCTTGCCTTCCTGTGAGGGCAGTTCCATACCCATGACCATTCAGTCCATAGTCCCTCTGATGGGTCTGTTACCAGGTATGGCAAGGTGGTAGAATATGAGGATGAGAATTGTCTATTAGGAAGTGGATTGAAAATACCAATCTAGGGGAGGGCTTTCTAACAGAAAATGGCAAAGGTTTCCACTACCATTTTAAACAAAGGATTATTAACAAGGGCAGCAATTTAATCCCACTGAATTCTCAGCTACATGTTCTGCCCCAGAGTCCCTGCTGCGAGCCTTAATATTTAATAAGTGAAGACACTTTTCTAACGTCAACGTATTTATTCTAAATACGGAGAGTCTACTAGAGCAGAAAAAACAAAGGCATCTAGTTTAAATAAACATTTATTTTTAGATTGACTTGGTTAATATACTAAATATATTAAAATGATGTATTATTTTTTAGAAGAACTTTTATACAAATCTGATTCTTGTAGCATTTTAATCATCCTCATCTTCCTCTTCTTCTTCCTCTATCTCATCCATTTCCTCAGCTGCAGCCAAAGCTTCTTCCTGTGCAGCCTTGAGTGCCTGCTCCTCTTCCACAGTAGGGTCATTCATTTCAGTGATTTCTGGCCCACTTGGGTACTCTGTCTGCACTGGTGGGGGCATCGAGGGTGAGTAGTTATCTGGACTGTATTTGTGACCCCACCCCAGATAGATATTATCAAATTTCCTGAGGGAAAAAAGCAAGAGATCACACAACTTCCTGGCAAAAAACCCCTGAGGGCTCTGCCTATTCTTAGGCTTCCCCACTTCACTGAACAAAAACCAATACGGGACATATTTTCTATAGCTAGCATATTCAATAATGGCATCTGCACTTAACTAATGTAAATAATGATGAATGTATCATGTGGCTATTAAAGATCTCATTGCACTTTTTTGCAAGAATAGGGGTGTTAAGCCTGAAGTTTTGGCCAAATACTAATTGGATAATTACATTCTATAAATCTGATTTCCACTACAGTTCCAGTGAAGATGGTATTCTTCACTTCTTGCCCTAAATTATTGTTATTTTTGCTGTGCACTGTTAAATGGCCTCCATGATCAACTCTCGAGGTGGCTACATTTTAGTAGTGGGAGAAGTCAGTGGATTAAAAATCACCAAAACAAACATTTCAACTGAATGAATTAAATAGGTTTCTGTGATTAACCAGTTTAAGATGGAATAGGAGTGAATATTGTGAGATACCAAGGTTAACCAGTCTAGCTATATAAGTAAGAGCTACCTACTTGCCGATAGCATAGGAGTACGCTCCAGGCCACAGGTTGGATTGAAGGACTGCAATGGCATATTGAGGAACCAGGTTTGTGGATAACTGAGATGTCCAAGGAGGAATGTTCTGAATTTCTGCCAAAAAAACCAACAACACACACTTACGTGAATTACCTGACTCATGAACATCTATGAAATATTTGGTAGTTAGGTAGAGGACAGGATTTCGTCTCTATACAGTTGTTCTCAAAACCCAAGCAATTGATGTATCCTAAAAAGGGATTTTAAAATGGATGTTAAAGGAGTTGATAGACAAGGGGCAAGAGCTTTAAATATTGTGGAAGCCTTGTAATATAAAGTCTGGTGTGGAGTCACTGGTTGATAGTCACAGAGTTATTAATTCAAGGGTGTAGTAAGAAGAACAGGAGAAAAGAAGGTTACACACACAGCTCCTGAAATTCAGTGGTACTTAATTCAATACCAGTTCCCCAGGCAAAGAACACTGTGGACCCCATACTGATAAATTTGGGAGACCCAGATCCAAATAATACAAAGACATGACCTTAATCTAAGAATGGAGTGGTTGTACCATTGTCCATGACTTGCTGCAGTATTGTGCTCTAGGATCTAAACTTTTATGTAATTTTTTTTCTCGCATAAGATAATGACGAAAACATCAACTCAATGTAACTGATGTAGTGTTGTCTTCCTGAACCTGCAGAGAACCTGAGACAGTAGCTCTGAGAGGTGAAATTCCCTCTTTCCTCTCAATGTGGAGGAAGCTTGGAATTTCTTCAAATCAACTTTACAAAAAACTATCTGAAATTTGTACCCCAAGCAAGGGGAAAAACTTGTAGGGAAAGGCTTCAGACTCAGCTTGATGAAGAACCACCTCAAAAAGGTTATTAGGAATAAGTAGGGAGTCTACAGATAATGGAAAAAGGGATTGATATGCCATGGAAGCTACATCATGGAGGTTAGAAAATGTAGGAATAAAGTGAGAATTGCTAAAAGTCAAGCTGAATTAGCTCTTTACAAGGAAATTAAAACAAATAATAAGAGGTTTTTTTAGTTATGTAAATAAAAAGAGAATAAGGAAGGATGAAGTTTGGCCGCTATGCAGTGTGGACGGAAAGGAGATTAAAGACAGTCCAGGTATGGCCCAAAAACTAAATGAATACTTTGCCTCAGTTTTCAATAACAATAATAACATAGAATGTGTGCATGAAGGCAGTAAGGCTGATGGAAATCACTGTCTCGAAATGGAAATTACCACACCTGAGGTGGAAGAAAAACTTAAAGATCTAAATGCAGTCAAATTGAGGTGACAGGAAAATTTCCATCCTAGTATACTGAAAGAACTGGCACATGAGATTGCTATTCTGGTAGGGAAGGTCTTTTAAAATATCTATATATTTGGGGGTAGTACCACATGACTGGAGAACAGCTAACTACATACCTATATTTAAGAAAGGGGGAAAAAAGTGATATGTGAAATTACAGACCTGTTAATCTAACCTCAGTAGTAAGCAAGGTTTTAGTACAAATTTGTGAATGAAAGAATAATTACATTCACATGCATATATGATAAAGGGGATGTAGTGCAACATGGGTGTGACAGTCTGTACCCCAAGGCAGTGCCCTGTAAACCCCATATTCATCATTTGTATATAACTGTGATATGGCATATAAAGCAGGCCATATGGGAAAGGTTACGATCTGCCGAAAGTCATTGTTCTGTCTAAATATGTATATCATTAGTGCATATGAAGTTATGAGATTGTGTTGTATGGCTGTCACTAAAACATGCTGCAAGTTGGGAAGCACCCAGATACTAGCTCCCCAAAGACAATAACCAGAGGGATAACCAACGCCCCAATAACCATCAGCAGCCATTGTCCAGCAAGGGAGCTACAATTCAAAGACTCACCTGCTTAAGGCCAAACCAGGGGAATTGCTCAACCTTGCCTGGTGACTCAGCAATGCCCACCAGACATGCCTGGACTTAGACCAATCTTATTCAATATTTTTATTAATGTTCTTGGCACAAAAAGTAGCAGTGTGCTAATGAAATTTACTCATGATACAGAGTTGGGAAGCATTGTCAATACAGAGGAGGATCAGAATATTATACAGGAAGATCTGGATGACCTTGAAGACTAGTGTAACAGAAATGGGATGAAATTCAATAATATAAGGTGTAAGATCATGCACTTATGGTCTAATAATAAGGATTTCTGCTACAAGCTGGGGGCTCAGAGGAGGAGAGAAACCTGGATGTGTGGGCCATTCACAGGATGACTATAAGTTAATGGGGCTGTGAGAAACACAAATACGATCCTAGAATGTATTAGGCGAGGTATTTCCAGTAGAGATAGAAACAGATTAATGGCATTGTACAAGGCATTGGTAAGACCTCATTTGGAAAACTGTTTACAGGTCTGATGACCCATGTTCAAAAAAGCAGAATGTAAACTGGAACAGGTGCAGAGAAGAGCTACTAGAAAGATCATGGGAATTGAGGGCCTATTTTATGAGACTGGAAGAGCTTGGCTTTTTAAGTCTAGCGAAACAAAGGCTGAGAGGGTATAATGATTGCTCTCTGCAAATAAATTAGGGGGGTAAATACCAGGAAGGGTGAAGATCTATTTAAAATAAAGGACAATGCTGGCACAAGAACAAATGGATATAAACTGGCCGTAGACAAATTCAGGCAGGAAATTATGAGATTTCTAGCCATCAGAGGGGTGAGATTCTGGAACAACCTCTGAATAGGAGTTGTGGGGGCCATGGGCGCTGACTTCCCCTCTTTCCCCTGGGTGCTTGACCCCCCCCGTCTCCGCCCCCACTCCACCCCTTCCATGAGGCCCTGCCCCACATCTTCCCACCCTGCACAGCCCCCATTCCAACCCCTTCCCCAAAGTCCCTGCCCCAACTCTGCCCCCTCCCTGCCCCTATTCCAACTCCTTCAACAAATCCCCACCCCGGCCCTGCCTCCTCCCCTGAGCACGCCACGTTCCTGCTCCTCCCCATCCCTCCTGGAGCATGCTAATGCTGCCAACAGCTGTTTGGCGGTGGCTGGATGGGAAGCATTGGGGTGTAGGCGGAGAAGCGGGGATGCGACGCGCTCAGGGTGGGAGAAGGAGGAGGTGGGGCAAGGGGTGAGGAGAGATTGGCTGCCGGTGGGTGTGGAGCACCCACTAATTTTTCTCCGTGGGTGCTCCAGCCCCAAAGTCAGTGCCTACGGTGGGGGCAAACAATTTAATTAGTTTTAAAAGGGAGCTGGACAAATTTATGAATGCAGTTGTATGACAGAGTTGCTTGTAATAGTAGGGAGTAGGGCTCAGAGCCCTGGGACTCACTTTTAGTTTATGTCTTTTGTTCCTAAAGCAGGCGTGAAATGGGGTATATGAACCCCACACTGAGCATAGAAAGAAGTGGGAGGAGAGCTTTTCAGGTAAGCAGCTTGAGCACACCCCGTGCAGTTGCCATCATAGAATATTAGGGTTGGAAGGGACCTCAGGAGATCATCTTGTCCAACCCCCTGCTCAAAGTAGGACCAATCCCCAATTTTTGCTGCAGATCCCTAAACGGCCCCCTCAAGGATTGAACTCACAACCCTGGGTTTAGCAGGCCAATGCTCAGACCACTGAGCTATCCCTCCCCCCATCGCTGCCAATCATGGAGGCAGGCACCCAAAGTTGCAGCCCACAGAAGAAACAAGGACTGCTATAAAGGGAAGAGTACAGAGAAGGAAGAGGAGGCAGAGGGCCCTGGGGCAGCACAGGGGTAATGCCCCTGCACCAGACTGCCTCCACAAACACAGCCAAGAGACTGAAGCAGACTGCTAGACTCAATTAGAGATGAAGGTCCAAGAACTGCCCTGACTGGGGGCAAACTGAGGGGGGCCAGAGAGAAGCAGCAGAGACCCCTGAAAAGAGCACACCAGGAAGTGGTGATAAGGGTCAAAAGTAGGGCTGTCGATTAATTGCAGTTAACTCATGTGATTAACTGAAAAATTAATCATAATTAAAAAAATTAATCATGATTAATTGCAGTTTTTAATCACACTGTTAAACAATACGATACCAATTAAAATTTATTAAATATTTTGGATGTTTTTCTACATTTTCATATATATTGTATTCTGTGTTGTAGTTGAAATCAAAGTTATATTATTTTTTATGACAAATATTTGCAATGTAAAAGTGATAAACAAAAGAAATAGTATTTTTCAGTTCACGTTATACAAGCACTGTAGTGCAATCTCTTTGCTGTGAAAGTGCAATTTACAAATATAGATTATTTTTGTTACATAACTGCACTCAAAAACAAAACAATGTAAAACTTCATAGTCTACAAGTCCACTCAGCCCTACTTCTTGTTCAGCCCATTGCTAAGACAAACAAGTTTGTTTACATTTGCAGGAGATAATGCTGCCCTCTTATTTACAATGTCACCAGAAAGTGAGGCATTTCTCTTTTGTAGCTGTGATTGCAAGGTATTTACATGCCAGATATGCTAAACATTCGTATGCCCCTTCATGCTTCAGCCACCATTCCAGAGGCCATGATTCCATGCTGATGATGCTTGTTAAAAATATAATGTGTTAATTAAATTTGTGACTGAACTCCTTGGGGGAGAATTGTATGTACCCTGCACTGTTTTACCTGAACTCTGCTATATATTTCATATTCTAGCACTTTCAGATGGTAACCCAGCATATGTTGTTCATTTCTTAAAATGAACACTTTCACTGCAGATTTCACAAAACTCAGAGAAGGTACCAATGTAAGATTTCTAAAGATAACTACAGCACTCAACCCAAGGTTTAAGAATCTGAAGTGCCTTCCAAAATCTGAGAGGGACAAGGTGTGGAACATGCTTTCAGAAGTCTTAAAAGATCAACACTCCGATGCAGAAACTACAGAACCTGAACCACCAACAAATAAAATCAACCTTTTGCTGGTGGCATCTGACTCAGATAATAAAAATTAATATGCGTCAGTCCGCACTGCTCTGGATAGTTATCGAGCAGAACCCATCATCAGCATGGACGCATGTCCTCTGGAATGGTGGTTGAAGCATGAAGGGACATATGAATCTTTAGCACATCTGGCACGTAAATATCTTGTGACGCTGGATACAACAGAGCCATGCAAAAGCCTGTTCTCACTTTCAGGGGACATTGTAAACATGAAGCGGGCAGCATTATCTCCTGCAAATGTAAACAAACTTGTTTGTCTGAGCTATTGGCTGAACGAGAAGTAGAACTGCGTGGACTTGCAGGGTCTAAAATTTTACATTGTTTTATTTTTGAATCCAGTTTTTTTGTACATAGTTCTACATTTGTAAGTTCAACTTTCATAATAAAGAGATTGCACTGCAGTACTTGTATTAGGTGAATTGAAAAATACTATTTCTTTTGTTTTTTTACAATGTAAATACTTGTAATCAAAAATAAATATAATATGAGCACTGTACACTTTGTATTCTGTGTTGTAATTGAAATCAATGTATTTGAAAATGTAGGAAATATCCAAAAATATTTAAATAAATGGTATTCTACTATTGTTTAACAGTGCGATTAATCACAATTAATTTTTTTAATCACTCGACAGCCCTAGTCAAAAGGGATTCCCCCTACCCAGTGTATTTTGGGAGGGTTTTTTAATCTCCTTTCTCTGAAGTATTAGGGATGGCCACAGCTGGAGATGTGACATGGGTGGGGGGGCACTGAGCATTCTCTCTCTCAGGTGCTGGGCTGGCTACTTCTTGCTCACATGCTGAGGGTCCATCTGATTGCCATATGTGGGGTCAGGAACAAATTTTCTACCAGATCAGATTGACTGTGACCTTGGGAGTTTTTTGGCAGCATGTGCGTGTGGGTCACTTGCCAGGATTATCTGGATATATCTCACTTAATCATTTTCCTGCCATTGGTCCTCCTAGTCTCTGCCTGTGGCACATAGTAGTCTAGTCTCCTGTAGGTTATACTATATTGGTCGCATTTCAGATGCTGCGTTTAGTATGTGAATCCTGGCTGGGGTTGGTGCCCTGTGGTATAAAGGAGGGAAGACAAGTGATCCCTTCTGGCCTTAAACTCTATAGCTCTAGTGGAATTGTTAACTCTGAAACCTAATGGTGACAGTTTAAATGTCAACACTGATAACTATTTCCCTGTTGATCATGTTAGGAGAAACATACAGTTAATGTGATTATCTCACAATCCCAAGCTAACTCCAGGGACCCAAAACTCTAGAATGTTTATTAGAGAGCTGCTAAAAACTCCAGATGGAGGTTCACTGTAAAAAAAAGATCAAGGATTCAAAGAAGTCTGAGTGGCCTGTACCTGCATCTTCAGAGAGTGGAGTCAGAAGAGGGGGTCCCACTTCTGGCCGTGGTTCATCTGGCTCTTCTGCTTTTTCCTCTTCCTCACCTTCTTCTTCTTCTTCCTCTGACTTTTGAGAGGGGTTAATCCAGGAACAGCGGCCCTACAATTGACGTACCAAGAGTTATAAAACAGGTGCAGCAATCTTTGAAATGCTGTGATGTGAGTTAAAACATTCAGTTCAGAAGCACTACGGTGCCTAAACACCATGGTGATGGGTGGCATATAAAAAGAAAAATAGATAAATAGATGACATACAAGTATACTTGGCAGAGGTCTCCAGGCATCCCTTATTCAATTAGCTGCTTCAGAATTCATTCCCTTTTACTTCAGTCATCAGATTTCAATCTGCTTTAGAGTTCTCAATTTTTTAAAAAGGTGCACTTAGTGTTCGTGAAAGATTCTGGACTTAAACCGAAAGACTAAAATTCTATATTCATTCATAGCTAGATGGTGTTGGTAGGCAGAGCCCAGCAAGGGCTTCACCACCCCAGGGGCTTCTTTAGGAGGCACCATGCATCAAAGACACACCTTGGAGGCACAATTCGCTCCCTGCTTCCACCTTCCTCCAGTGAAGGGATAATAATTTGCTGCTGGCCTATACCAGCAGCAAATTATAATACCTTCTGGCCCAGCTGTGCTGTATTACCCATCCCTCCCTGCATAGGGGCATGAAGTAAGCAGGCACATAGCACCCACATACTCCTGCATTTCTGGACCTACGGTCCAGGTTGCCTGCACAACTGAGTAAGGAGTGTTACTTCTCCATCCTCCCCTGTGGAGGCATGTTGTCCAAATTATAATCCAGAGCAGAGAAAGCATAGGCAGCAATGATGTCTGTATCTCCACACTGTTTTGCCAGAGTGCCTCAATCCTGACCAGGAGGGACTATTTTCTATGGATGAGAGGATGGTTCATCTATGGATGGGTCCAGTCAATCCTTGGCCTTGTTGCTGATACTGCCAACTGTGATGGTACTATTCCACTGTGAATACAAGTGGCAGAGTTGATTAATAAAGTGGAACTTGATTAATAAAGAATTCAAGGAAGCTAATGTAATTAATGCCAATCAACATAGGATTATGAAAAACAGATCCTGTCAAACTAACTTGATATGTTTTTTTGAAAAGATTACAAGTTTGGCTAAAAAAGGTAATAGTGTTGATGTAATACATTTATGTAAGGAGTTTGGTTTGGTACTGCACGACATTTTGATAAAAAGGTTGTATGATACAAAATGAATATGACACACATTAAATGGATTAAAAGTTGGCTTACTGACAGGTCACAAAATCTAACTGTAAACAAGGAATCTTCATCAAGCAGGGGAGTGCAGGGATTGGTTCTTGGCCCTACACTATTTAACATTTTTAATCAGTGACCTGGAAGAAAATATAAAATCATCATGGATAAAGTTTGCACAAAAATTGGGAGAATGGCAAATAATGAAGAGGAAAGGTCACTGATAAGAGCAATCCAGATTGCTTGGTGAACTGGGAGCAAGCAAACAATATGCATTTTAATATGACTAAATGTAAATGTATACATCTAGGAAAAAGGAACATATACTTACAGGATGGGAGAAACTATCTTTGGAAGCAGTGACTCTGAAAAAGATTTGGGGATCATCGTGGATAATCAGATGAACAAAAGCTCCCGGTGTGACACTGTCACCGAGAGGGCTAATGTAAACCTTGGATGCATAAACAGAGGAATCTCAAGCAAAAGTAGAGAGGTTGTTTTACCTCTGTATTTGACGCTGGTGTGACCACTGCTGAAATATTATGTCTAGTTCTGGTGTCCACAGTTCAAGAATGATGTTGATAAATTGGAGAGGGTTCAAAAAAGAACCACAAGAATGATTAAGGATTAGAAAACATGCCTTATCGTAGTAGACTTAAGGAGCTCAATTTAGCTGAACAAAGAGAAAGTTAAGAGGTGACTTGATCAGTCTATAAGTACTATATGGGCAACAAATATTTGATAACAGGTTCTTCAATATAGCAAAGGAATCACACAATGCAGTGGCTGAAAGTTGAAGCTAGACTACTTCAGACTGGAAATAAGGTGTAAATTGTTATCAGTGAAGGTAATTATCCATCAGAAAAATTTACCAAATGTCATGGTGGATTCTCTGTCATGGGGAATTTTTTTAAAATCAAGATTGGATGTTTTTCTAAAAGATATCCTCTAAGAATTACTTTGGGAAATTCTATGATCTGTGTTATACGGGGAGGAGGGGCTGACCAGATGATCAGAACAGTTCCTTCTGGCCTTGGAAATATGAATCTGTCCATTATTTTGCATAGGTTACTTGTTATGTCTGGCCAACAGCTGAAAAGAACAACTCAAAATGTCCTTAAGATTTTAAATATCTATTGATTTTATATTTAAAGCCATCATTCTGTTGCCAAGAAATAAAAAAACAAATATTCACCAATACTCAATGTCTGACTCTATAGTATTATTGTTGGGCTGCTAGAGGGCAGTCAGTCACCCAGCAAGGAAAGATCAAGTTAACAAATACTCTTCCCAGACCTGTGTTGACATTATTAATGCTGCTAACTTTTAACAAGGAAATAAACGCCATGTCACACACAGCTTTTCCTTCAGAAGAAACAAAGGGACCACATTAACAGAGTTAAGTGTTATTTTCAAGCTTCTGTAATGGCATTACTTACAGTGTAAACATCAAAAATTCAACTGGAGAAAATATTGGACAGTGTTCCCTTTATGTACAGTTATGAACAGCCTACATTGGTATTAGCACTCTAGCTAGTAAGGCATACCTAGTCATTGCCAAGTCAGGAAAGAAACTGTCGTGGCCTTTGGAGAAACAGAAACTAGACAGAAAGGATCAAAGTCCACCAATGCTCAACCCCATATTATCACAGGAAATTGATTACTGAGGGATACACTCCCTTATCCCAACAGGTTATTCCTGCACATTTATCCAGAGGAAGGCATGCAACTTCCCCCCACTCCCTGCAAAAAAACCCCACAACCCTAGAAAGTTGCTGCCAATATGCATTAGGATATTGCAATAGGAGACAATTCTAGCTCAGCCCCAAATGTGGTGAACAGTTCACCCTATGCAGATTACTTTCTGAGGTACCATTGATAACTATGTAATTGGTATCCAAGATCAATACTGATTACATAGAGCATTACCTGCATTAGAATATTCTGTACATGGTGCACCCAGTTGGAAATGGAATCCACAAGTTCCATCACACTAATGGTCTCAAAGTCAGGATTTTCTTCATATGTGTCTCTTCCTCCTCCCCCCTCCTCCTCTTCATCCCCTTCCTCCTCTCCAAACTGGTAGAACCCCAGTGGACTGATCTGGGTCCCTGCTGAGATCCGAGCGATCTGTGCACGCAGGTAATTGGCCTCATTCCCTGGGAAAGGTGGATAGCTCACAATAGGAGCATCCAGCCTTCCAGTGAAGAACTTCTTGATTTTCCTGGAAGCCACAATTTGCGCTGGTGTCACTGGAGGTAACTTCACCCAGGGTTTACCTGGCTCATTACAGACAAAATAGATAAACTTATTGGTGCCAGTCCGGTTTTCTTCTTTTGGGACCACTGGTGGGGGTTTATAGGTGGACTTTGGTGGCTCATCTTCTTCTTTCTCTTCATCTTCTTCTTCATCTTTGTCCTCACTCCCCTCTTTCCCCCCCTCCTCAATCACTTCTTCCTCCTCTATCTCCTCCTCCTCTTCCCCCTCACGGTACTCCACTTCAGCCACGATATAGTTCATCTCCAGGCCCAAGATCTTGCCCCAGAAGCGACATGTCTGGATTGGCTGCATGCTAACGAGCTGCTTGAGGGCAAGGAATATATGGTAGTTTTCCTCCATGCTCAAGCCGACTCCAGCCTGTTCAAAATAGAAGGCTGTCTCCATCACATTGGGTAGAGGGCTATCTGTCTAGGGAAGAAATTGCCGGAGTTAAAGCTGAGGTATAAATAAAGGGATTTTTAAAAGGTTAAGTATATTACTCACTAAAAGTAATACTTAGCATTTATATATTGTCTTTCATCCTTTCAAAGTGCTTTATAAACATTAATTAACTAAGCCTCACAACATCCCCAGAGGAAGATAATAATATACCATTTAACAGAAGGAGAAATCGAGGCAGAGAGCTTAAACAATATGGAGCTTTCAGGTAGCAGAGTCTGGAAAAGAATCCAAGATTCCAAACTCCCAGTGCTCTCTTAACTACTTCAAAACATTCAGGGTCAGAACTAGTTACAGGTGGACAGTATGAGCAATCTGTACAAGGGATCTCAGTGCTTGCACTCATATACTAGTACATCAATGCCACTAATTGGCTGGGAAGCCACCGATGACCAGGGACAGTGAGGCTATATTTCCTCATGTGCAAGACAGGTGCATTTTGCAAGAACAGAATAATCTTTTTACATACTCAGCTAATTTGGTTGGATTTCAAAAGCCTGAAGGAACCAGAGAAATTCCATATATAGCCAGCAATCCCTCCCAAATATTAGTGTCACTCTTTTGGATACCTGGATATAGAGGTATTCTAAGCATGCATTATTTAAGATTGACTATATTATATGTGGGATTTTCCAAATCATTCAGCATTGGAGTACTGCTCACTCAGAAATCAGTGGTAAACCTTCCATTTGCTTCAGTGGGAACAACAAGCCTTTCTGAAAAGTCTCCCTATGTCTTGCCATCTTTACCCCTTTACCATTTGGAGATTCATCCCCAGCCACTTACATCAGATAGAGGAGCAAAAAAAGTAAGACTGGAAGTTGTATACTGTATTATAGGGTGAATAGTTTGGTGGAGTGACTATTGGTTTATGTGGAATTTCTCTGACACCGTCAAACTTTTAAGTATCAACCAATTAGGTTGAGGATATGAAAAATGCAATTTCTTCTTCCAAAATACATTGCTTTTTCTCACAAGGACATGTTACCACTTTGTTCTTGGCTATCGCTGACCTGAAGATGTCTGGTACAGCATGGACAAGATGGCTTAATGTCTTTCTATCTTTAATGTTCAGTTGCAATGATTTACTTGTACATATAATGTTGACTTGCTATGAAGGTCAACTCCAAACAACTCGTATTTGCTTTCTCAACCTAGTGGTTCTACCTTTCACCATGTAGTGGTTCTAACTTTCACCACAGAGCTCTCTTAAAACCATTTGGGAACTTAATATTCAGCATATTAGAAGTAAGGGGACACAAAAAGTACCTTGCTGCTTTTATATGAAAAATACCTTTTCAGTTCTACACTTCAGTTCTTTAGGCCAAATGTCACCATAACTTTTTTCTAACTGGGACACGGACCAAAACTGCAACTGGAGTAAAAGGGAGTTAAAAATTCTCCATCCTTTGTCTCACAGTAGTGGCTGAACACAATGCTCTTAACCCTGTTCCCCATGCATCCCCATATGAATTTCATTTTAGGTAAAATAAATTAGTCAGTCTAGATTACGTAAGGAAAAGAGAATGCTGTAACTCTTCTTTTTCATCCCTCATTTCTAGAGGGACAAGAGGTGGAAGCCCCACTGAAGGGATCATTTAAGATTGTGAGGGGCAAAGCAGTGAAGATTAGAATATACTGTAGGGAAAAATCCTAACTTGCCAGGGGATGGGCAAGATAACCTCATGCCTTTTCCATCTTTAATCTCTGTTTCTACAACAGTCACTCACTATTTCCTCTTCTGGCTCTTGATCTCCTCCCTCTCCTGTCCCCTTGAGGAACAGAGCCTTATATTTCTCTGCCAGCTCATATGTTGGAAGCATTTCATGCTCATCACGGAGGGTGTCCATTTTTTTCTGGAACTGAGCCCATTTCACATCCTTACTGATATTCTCAATGATATCTACTGCATTTATAGGGCGTTCATCCAAGATCTTGGTCAGCATGTGAGCAAGATGATCATATCTGTCAAATCAAAAGAGATTGAAAACTCCAAGGAAGAATATTACTGCCCTACTATATCAAATACTCAGCATAGTTGGTTTCTTATGTCAAAGATAAAGGCATATGTCCTGGGATAACTCCTAACGTCCAGAGCCATCACTACAGTAATTAGCTCTAATATTGAAAATGTCAGCTGAGTGTTATGGAAATTAAGCCTGAGATATATACCTGGTAATATTCATAAGGAATAGCTTGTTTGTAGTACCTCTAATAACATGTTCATTTTCCATTTATAGCTTTTCCCACCATTTCTCCACTTACAGTTTGAAGCTGGATTTAGAACTCCTAATAGGGTCTATCTCCCTTTAATCAGGGGTGGGCAAACTTTTTGGCCCTAGGGCTACATCGGGGTTGCAAAACTGTATGGAGGGCCAGGTAGGGAAGGCTGTGCCTCCCCAAACAGCCTGGCCCCCGCCACCTCCCAATTCCCTCCCCCTGACTGCCCCCCTCAGAATCCTCCACCCATCCAACCCCCCTGCTCCTTGTCCCCTGACCGCCCCCTCCCGGGACCCCACGCCCCTAACCACCCCCCAGGACCCCACCCCTATCTAAGCTCCCCTGTTCCTTGTTCCCTGACCGCCCCGACCCCTATCCACACCCCTGCCCCCGACAGGCCTCCCGGGACCCCTGACCCATCCACTCCCCCCCACACTTCTTGTCCCCTAACTGCCCCCCCCCAGATCCCACCACCTATCCAACCCTCCCTGCTCCCTGTCTCTTGATCGCCCTCCTCCCCAAACCTCCACCCCATCCGTCCGCCCCCTGTCCCCTGACTGCCCCCTGGGACCTCCTGCCTCCCCCCGCCCCCTTACCACACCTCTCAAAGTGGCAGGACAGGCTTGTTGGAAAGCCTGGGAGGTAGGTGGGCGGGAGCAAGCTGTGCTGCTCGCGCAGCAGAATGGCTGCGGGGAAGAGAGGACAGCGGGGGAGGGGCCAGGGGCTAGCCTCCCCGGCCAGGAGCTCAGAGGCCAGGCAGGATGGGCCCGTAGGCCGTAGTTTGCCTACCTCTGCTTTAATCCCTCTAAATTCCTTTTGGTAGGTCTGATCTTGAGTGCTGCTGAGAACCTATGACTACAACAAAAGGATTAACCCTTATGTCCTTGATTCTCCCCACATGCTTTCCCTTCCCTCCCCTCCTATACCTCCTTACCTCTTTGTCCTCTCCACTCACACTGTCTTCTCCTCCACTCATACCTCCTTCCCCTGCCCATGTTATTCCCCTCTTTTCACACTCACAAGTTCAGGCCAGACTTTGTGCTGCTCTTCATTAGATAGGCCTTTGCATTCTGGATTGCCAGTGCTCTAGGTTCAGGATCAGGTATTTCATCCTCATATGGGCTGTATCCTGGCTGATAAAGGCCATAGCCTGGTTCGTGTGGTTGATAAGGGCCATGTCCAGATACAAAAGGCTGATAGGGACCAAGCATAGGTTCTTGTTGCTGATAAAGGCTTCCTCTTGGTTCCTGTAGCTGATAGGGGTCTTGTCCCAGGGCATGTGGCTGATATATGCTTCGTCTCGGCTCTTGTGGTTGGTACGGTTCTAGTCCTGGCGCATGTGGCTGATAGATGCTTTGTCTCAGCTCTTGTGATAAGGGTCCCACTTGACGGGCTTCATAGGCAGATTGTCCTGGTTGGTGAGGCTGATAGGGAGCTTGACCTGGTGTGGTATCCTGGCCCGGCTGGTGAGGTTGATAAGGGGCTTGTCCAGATTCATAAGGTTCATAAGGAGATTGTCCTGTTTGAGAGGGTTGGTAGGGGCCCTGGCCAGGTGGGGTCCCCTGACCAGGCTGGGTCAGCTGGTAGGGGCCCTGGCCAGGCTGGGTGGGCTGGTATGGCCCCTGGGCAGGTGGGGTCCCCTGACCAGGCTGGGTCGGCTGGTAGGGGCCCTGGCCGGGCTGGGTGGGCTGGTATGGCCCCTGAGCAGGTGGGGGCTCCTGGCCGGGCTCGGTGGGCTGGTAGGGGCCCTGGCCGGGCTGGGTGGGCTGGTATGGCCCCTGAGCAGGTGGGGGCTCCTGGCCGGGCTCGGTGGGCTGGTAGGGGCCCTGGCCGGGCTGGGTGGGCTGGTATGGCCCCTGAGCAGGTGGGGGCTCCTGGCCGGGCTCGGTGGGCTGGTAGGGTCCCTGGCCGGGTGGGTGGTCCTGGCCTAGCCGCTCGGAGCTCTGCTCCGAAGGGGGGGACCCCTGAGCCTCGGGCGGGGGGTCTCCGGAGGGATCCGCCATGCCACTGGCTGCCGGCTGGGGCTATCGGTCCCTCAGCACCAGGGTCCCGCCGAGCCCCGCCGCCGCCGCCTGGACTCCCGGCTTCTCCTGTCTCCAAGCAACAGCTCCCAGCCCCTGAGCGGAGGCGCGGGCGGGGCGTTGCCACGGTAAACTCGACTCCGTTGCCAGGCTGACTTGATTGGGCGCCCGTGCAGCACGTGCCTGCACTCGGCGCGAGAGCGGGGCGTGGCCGGGCTCCAGGGCGAGCCGGGTAGGCTGGCTGTCAGAGAGGGTGCGATGGCGGGGGCGGAGAATCCCAGCGCCAACTCAAGTCGCTGGTGCCCCCGTCTCCCCCGCGCGTCTTTGCGGGTTTCACCCACGCTGGGCTCGCTAGGGTGTGTGGTCTTGTGTTATAGTTTGTTTTTCAAGATGTACTGAGCATCTTTGGGGAGGGGTGGCCTTGATAATACAAGGCAAAAATGGCGGGAGGGCTAGCCCTGAAAAGTTGACAGCCTAAGAATGCGTATATAGGGACGTACACATACAGTCTGAGTTTGCGGAGATGTGGCCAAGCAGCACTTTGATCACTCCACTTCTCTGCTCTTGTGCTGTACCACTTGATCCCTGTCAAGTTGCCTAGCACAGTGTTTCCTAACGTGTGGGTTGTGCCCTCCTGAGGGTTACAAAGGACTAGCCTCAGGACATGAAATGATCTCTCAATTTGTCCGCAGAGCCTCAGATTTCATTTTTAAAAAAGGCCTGGGCTACATGACCAAGTTGCACAAGTTTTACTTAAACTGAGTTTTAAATTGATTAAAATTGGTGCAAATGCCTGTTTAGATATTTCATTTTGGAAGTGGTTTATTTAGGTTTCTCTTAAATTGATCCCTAATTGGATTTAAAATAAAGGGGAGGGGGAGGACTTGTTTAAACCAAAATAAGAGTGTCCAAAGGGGGTCTGCACCAGTGTAAGTAAACTGATTTAAAAGCACACCTTAGAATCATAGAATATCAAAGTTGGAAGGGATCTCAGGAAGTCATCTAGTCCAGCCCCTGCTCAAAGCCTCAAATTAAACTAGTACAAGATTCTCATGTTAAAAGCCCTGAATCTCTAGCAGAGACTTGAACTGCACCATTCATTTTAATAGTGCTAATGAAGATACCAATATGATACATTAAATGTCAACATTGTTAACTATTTCACTGCTCATCAGTGTACGTACAAAAGACAGGAAGAATCTACATTTCTCAAAGGGGTGGCAGGGAGGGTGTTTCAAGCAAATGCCCCCAGGTTGTTGAAGAGGCAGACCAGGGCTACATTACAAACTTTTGCAGGCATAGCTATGTTGGTCAGGGGCATGAAAAGGGTTGATCCCTGCCTCTCTCACCTAGTGTAGATGTAGTTATACTGGCAAAACTGCATGTTTGCTGGGTGTAGCTTATTTTGCTGATGGGGGTGGGAGGGAAATAAGTTATACAAGCAAAAGCACAGTTTTTCCAGTATTACTGTGTCCACACTAGGAGCACTTTACTATACTATATACGAACCGGTGTCCTTTTCCTTTGCCTTTCATTATCCACTACTACCCTCATAACCCAATCAGGTAAAAATTCCCACTACACATACCAGATACAGATGTTATCATCTGTAGGAGGAGAGCCTTCCTTGGGAGCGCCTTGTAAGATCTGGCAGAGCAGAGCTCTCCTCCTACAAACCTTATATACTAACTCAATTTAAAATTTGGATGTTCACTTAAAATAAATCCCCGGGAAATTTGTAATACGAAAAAGAGAGATCTGCCTCCCCATTAACCCACCATTTTTTTTCTGTTGAGTCCAGCTTATACCCAAAAAGGAATATGACACTTTCCTTTTTAAAAACATACACCTTTTTAAAAAGCCCGAGTGTTGCAACGTTTGGAAATAAATAGTTAAGAGATCCAGCTAGTTTCCCACGATCAAGTAACCTTCCATCACTTGTTCTTACCCCATCCATCCAAAGTCAACACGGCCTTCAAAACATTTGGAAACATATATCCAAAAGTAAACTCTTTGGGGGCAGGGACCATCTTGGTACAGTGTCTAGCATAATGAGGCCCTGATCTGGGATGGAGGCTCTGGGCACTACTGGAATTAAAATAATTATAATAAATAACAATATTTACTGGTTTCAGAGTAGCAGCCGTGTTAGTCTGTATCCGCAAAAATAACAGGAGTACTTGTGGCACCTTAGAGACTAACAAATTTATTTGGGAATAAGCTTTCGTGGGCTATTAACTGATTAGTAATATTTGTGAATATTAACTGATTAGTAGGAGATTACAAAATGTTATGTTTTATTAAGGGGATCTACTCCAATAATTTAGCCCTGAAGGAATTTTGATTTATCTGATCTTATACTTGTTACTGATCCAGGATAGCACATTAGTAGGGCCCTTCATTTTTAGTTTTTATTTTATTTAATTTTCCCCAGGAATTTATCGGTGTTTATTTCTACAACAAAAATGGGTGAAAATCGGTAGAAAAACTATTATTTTTTCTCGGTAAATATTGGGGTTTATTTTGGTGGATGGAAGGATGGGGAAAAAGTATTCAGTAGATTAATGTTTTGATGAATGGAATTCAATGTGGTTTGCTGTAAAACTAAAACAGAACTCAAAACACAATGCCATCTCTGAGTTTAATTAAACAATATATCAATAATCGCCAAATAAAACTTTTCATTTGAATAAACAGTAAACTGTTGAGACTTAGAACTGATCTGGTTTTGTTCAATATCTTCATTAATGATCTGGAGGATGGCATGGACTGCATCCTCAGTAAGTTTGCAGATGACACTAAACTGGGAGGAGTGGTAGATACGCTGAAGGGTAGGGATAGGATACAGAGGGACCTAGACAAATTAGAGGATTGGGCCAAAAGAAATCTGATGAGGTTCGACAAGGACAAGTGCAGAGTCCTGCACTTAGGACAGAAGAATCCCATGTACTGCTACAGACTAGGGACCGAGTGGCTAGGCAGCAGTTCTGCAGAAAAGGACCTAGGGGTTACAGTAGACGAGAAGCTGGATATGAGTCAACAGTGTGCCCTTGTTGCCAAGAAGGCCAATGGCATTTTGGGCTGTATAAGTAGGAGAATTGCCAGCAGATTGAAGGACGTGATCATTCCCCTCTATTTGGCATTGGTGAGGCCTCATCTGGAGTACTGTGTCCAGCTTTGGGCCCCACACTACAAGAAGGATGTGGATAAATTGGAGGGAGTCCAGCGGAGGGCAACAAAAATAATTAGGGGGCTGGAGCACATGACTTATGAGGAGAGGCTGAGGGAACTGGGATTGTTTAGTCTGCAGAAAAGAAGAATGAGGGGGGATTTGATAGCTGCTTTCAACTACCTGAAAGGGGATTCCAAAGAGGATGGATCTAGACTGTTCTCAGTGGCAGCAGATGACCGAACAAGGACTAATGGTCTCAAGTTGCAGTGGGGGAGGTTTAGGTTGGTTATTAGGAAAAACTTTTTTCTCTAGGAGGGTGGTGAAACACTGGAATGCGTTACGTAGGGAGGTGGTGGAATCTCCTTCCTTAGAGGTTTTTAAGGTCAGGCTTGACAGAGCCCTGGCTGGGATAATTTAGTTGGGGATTGGTACTGCTTTGAGCAGGGGGTTGGACTAGATGACCTCCTTAGGTTCTTTCCAACCCTGATAATCTATGATTCTATGAACTATTAGCCTATAAATATTTACATTTAATAATTGGGCCACACCATTTGCAGCACATACAATCAACTTCATCCTTTTCTCCTGTTTTTTTTAACTTGCAAATACTTCCTTGTGTTCTGAAACATTCTGATACAGATTTTTATTTTCTTCCCATTTTAGTATGTCAAATCTTTAAAGCGTTATCTGCTAACAGCTTGAAATGTGTATGTGGTGGGTGTGAGATTCATCAGTGCATTCAGATGTGCATGCACTTCAGAGATTGTGTGTGCATCTTCTAGACTGATACATATAGCCTTATTTCAACAGACAGCTTTGCATATACATGCAGACTAATATATTATCATAATACATAAATCTCATGCAATGTATTGTATTTTCCTAATGAAACAAGTACTTTTTAATATATTTGAATGAGACAAAATTAGGGTGAAAATCGGAAACAACTGAATAATACTTTTTGTAAAACCCAGTTTTTTCTGTAAAAATCAGTTTAAACTGAAAACAAAGGGACTTACACATTAGTGATGGAGGAATTCAACATTTTGAAGGAAAAGGTTATTTTTTCTGACAAGGTGATTTTCTTTATTCATTCATTTATTGCTTTTTACAAAGATAGCGGTATGAAGGTGTTGAGAGATTTGGTACGTTAGAAATAGTACAGCTGGATATGGATTAATGGACAGAAAGCAGATGAAATGTTCAAAGTTCCATGATAAATACATAAGTACAGGTACAATTTTTCACATTGGAATCACTGCCACTTATCTGCCAAATTCTGTTCTCAGTCACACTGACTTAAATTAGGATGTAATGCCATTAGGCCTGATTCTCTCCACATTTACATTAGTGTAACTCAAACTGGAGTACGATATACTGGTGCAAATTACTTTTTACTCCAGTGGAGAGTGTCAACAGTAGGGATTTATAGTAGTGCAAAGAAACCTATCGTAGACAAGGCCTGTAGTCTAGAAATGCTACTGTAACTCTAAAACTGTGCGCCCAATTTTAAACATGGACAAGTAGTTAGACACCCAAGTTGTCCCTTTTCGTGCTGAAATGGGCACTTAGTTGAGTAAGAAGGGGAACTTATGATTGTAGGAGCTGTTATGAGCATCTAGATGTGCAGTTTTGATGTTCTTTTTGGTTGTCCATGGTTGAAAATTGGGCTGTTTATTATTTGTGTATCATTGGTCCACACTAATATCTGCCACGTATAGGCACTTCACATATTTTTCACTTTTGGATGTGTGAAAATGTTAATATATTTGATAGTATGAAAACTCTGTGATACATAGCTAACTGGAATGCCTGTCTCTGTTTAGCTGCCCAAGGAACAGAGTTCTCACTTATTTGTTTGGTTTTCTGGTGAGATCTTCAAGCACCGTATATCGCCTTTCAATCATGAGCCATAATGCCA